CGTGGAAAAAGATGTTCATTAATTTTACCCGTATGGCAATTTTTTATATTTATCCAAATATCTTTTCTTTGAAATCCATGTACAGCGAATAAATGAATGTACAACACCTGTGGAGAATTTAAGGGGAATGGGGCACGGGGCACGCCCCCCCCCCCTCCCAAAGTTTTTTTAAAAGGGAGTTCTTCAAAAAAGTAAAGGCAAAGGTTTGAGTACAACCGAATAAATTACATTCTTTCGGTTACTTTCTTTCTACGTACTCAAAAATTACTTATAAATTACTTTCTTTCTTTAGCGATTTTGGAAGTAAGACTAAAGTTTCACGAACCGTGCAAAAGTCTTAAAGGAACGTGGAATTTTAGGTTGAGAATCAGACTTAAGTATCTAGAATCAGCATTTAGAAGTTAAACTCAACGATTTGGAGTCAGACTCAGCCTGTAGGCGTCGGACTCGCACTCAGCGCTTCGCTCCAGAATGCTGTTCTCAGTTTCAATTTCTTTTAACCTAACATTAAAATTTTGAAGTCATCGTCACAAATATTACAGTAATATTTGTTAGCCTTGAACTTAGCAGTGGTTTCTCTTCGAACGCTGGTTTGAGAAAAAAACACTGTTTAAAAGGAGGAGAGGAAAGGAAGGAGGGAGGAGGGAGAGGAGTGGGAACTGCGACGAATCCACAGTTAAAGTTGCCGTAGCGGTCTGATCAAGTTTCACTGGATGAGTCTGGATCCAAGCGTGGGTAAGATTAGCTGCCTTTGTCGAATCAACGCCTTTGACTCTGTTTGTAGAGGAAGATTTTCAGAGGATATTGGTTTCTGACTGTTATTTTTGCGAAGGGCGACAGGGCACGTTCGTGATTAAACGGTGATTAGGTATGTGACCCATGGTGCTTTTCGGCTTGTTGTCCCAAAAATTATCCGGTCTTGAGTGGTTCCGAGTTCCGACCCCTGAACTACTATGTCAAAATTTATTTGAGGATCGGAACATGAACTCTTGGCCGAGAGATTCCAAACGCCCACAAGCGCTAGCAAAAAAAATGTTGCTGAAGTGAGGGCAGGCCGGTAAAGTATGATTATGTGGTGGGATTAACTGGAGATGGAGAGGCACAACGGAACTTTAGGGAAACTCAGTGTTGTGATTTAGCCATGTTGTGAAAGAATTCGGAGGAAAGAGACGCAGAAATAAAAATCAAATCCTTTTCTCTCGTTCAGTTCTGGGTAAGATCACTCAGTCAACAATAAGTTGCTATCTGTACCGAATAAAGCAAACTGGAGAGCACCAGAGAGGTTTTTCAATAAACTTAACGACAACTGGGGTCTCGCAGAGCGCCAAACCTAGGTCTTTGACAACAGTACGCTATGATTTCGTACTCGGCACAAATAGCATATCAGAACGTTCTGAATGCAGTTTCTTACTTTGGAATGTTGGACGGGTGCATTTACCCAAAACTTGAACGAGAGGAAGGGATTTGTTTGAGTTATAATATTTTGTGGTCGTGGCTTTAAGGTTTTTGTTTATCTGTACTTTATGTGGTGAATAATCAATCGCTGATTTTTGTCCCGCGGTGTGCGCGTGTTAGAGGCAAATCTGCATGTCAAAAGGCTCTGAGCAGGGCAAAAGACGGACCGCTGATTAGCAGGTCAGGAAACTGTCGATTATTAACTGCGAAGCCGAAAAATGCAGAAAATTATAGTATTTCAGTTTGTTTTTCTATTATTACTGATTTAATAAAACGAAGGAAGACCCTTTTTTTGCCCAACATCGTAGCGTGCACAACAGCTTGGTGCAACACAGAAGAAATGCACGGAAAGAGAAGAAGGCTGATTCGCCGACCGGAAAGTGGTGCCTCTAGGACCGACATTGTGCGCGAAATAGCCGACGAAGCGGATGGCGTCCAAGCTGCAGTGGAAAGCTTTGGGCAAAGTTATTCCGCGCGGGACAAACCTCATCTCGGTCCGGAGCGAGAACAGGGAATACTGAAGTGCTTCGAAGACGGCCGCACTATGGCCTACATCATGAAGAAGTTCAGGCTTCCAGAAGAGCGCCTTAGAATGTTTTTGCGGCAAAATGGAAAATCATTCCCGGAACGTTCCCGGAAAAAATTCCAGCGACTGCGAACGGATGTTCTGAACCTTATTGCCGAAGGATTGCCCTTGCATACCATCGCACGGCAGGCTAATGCCAGCCTGTCGCTGGTAAGAAGGTTAATGAAATTGGGTGCACCAGAATCGAATGCACCGGCAGAGCAACCGTTAAGCCTATCAGAGACGGACGAACAGTCTGGAATGGAGTTATACGGTGTCGAAGAGAAGCAGGAAGTTAAAACCGAGGAAATTGATGAGGATGACTGCAGCGATGCAAAGGATACGGGCGTTGTGTGTCAAAGCTCGGTTCGTTCCAGGGCGCTGCAGGTTGATGATCCAGAATGCACTGTTTGTAAAGAATTCGCCTTTCAAGACCTTAGTGAAGGTACCGCAGCGAATACTCAAACATCTGCGTGTGACATCGAGAAAGGATCAGGTGCAGAAGTCTTAAAGAACATCTTTGAAGCAGCCGGAGACCCTGAGCCGGGGAAAAACCAAACCGGTATGTGAAATAACATATTCAGATTTTACCTATTAATTTGTACACTGTGCCAATTTTCGTTGCCGACGTACAAGCTCACGATAAGCAAACGGCGTGCCTAGCATTATTGTAAAGTTAAAAATAATAACTACAGTACTATTACCGTTACGGTAATAGTCATTTGGATATACACGGTAGAAAATGTGAGGCGTGGCGTTGAAATTAAGTGCCTCCCGCTGGCTCTTATAAAAGTGTATGTGAACCAAATTTTGAAATTTTCCCCGTTTGGTAGGTGGTCGCTTTTCCCTTTTTATTTTTCGCTACTCTCTTTTCCACGTTTGGCAAGTTACTCCGAATTTGTGGCTGTCATTTCAGCAGCCGATGACTCAGATTCTACTGCGGTCAGCTACCCTGCGAGTCGCAATCGAAATCCTTTGGTGAAATTTTTTACAAACCGTTCCACCTAGTCGGTATGACCAAGCATGTGGGCCTCAAGAAGGAACGTGCTGGCAGTATCCACCGATCCGGGCCGCGACGTCGGCTGTGCGCTACTCCAGAAGCAACCAGTGCTTCTGCGTCCCAGCCAGCCAAGACTGCTAGACGTCACCGCTATCCAACATCTGCACGCAGACGTGCTGTAACGGTGGCCAGTCACCTTTATTGTCATTCGATATATCCCAGGACCCCCTGTGCTAAATCGAAAAAGGTCTCGGAAGGTCGGGTCGGCGTCCAGACGGCGGACGCTAACGTAGACGATATTAACGAGCCAGTCCACGGTTGTCGAAGATCGGCTCGCTTGAAGGCCATGCAGCGTGATGGTCCAAGCGCAAAACGCACCCACTGCGGATGTGAGAATGCCTGTTCGCGTGACCACAAAGTACGCAAACCTGCTTGTAAGTTAGCAGAGAAAATGTCAGAGGGGGCTCCGAACAGCGGCTGCGGAGCTGCAACAATATTCAGCAGCTCGACGTCCCAGTCAACCAGAAGCTCCAAACTTGAACGCTATCTAGCACTGAAGCGCAGATGGAGAACAACGGTTGCAAACGACGAAACGTTCGTGGACAAACAAGACCATGGCGCTCTACCGACGTTAGGCTCATCAGTGTACTGCGGTGAATCCGCCGGGATGTCGAAAGATCCTGAGATTATTAATTTGCTCAATATGGATGGCCAGAACGGTAAGCATTTTCTTCGATTTTAAGTGCTGTAGCCGTCCGCACAAGTTAGACCACAGAGTCAGCATACCGGAAAAAAGCGCAGCAAATACCACATAACTACTCTAACCGGGCAAAATGCACGGTTTTGTAAGTACGTGCTTAAACGTTCTAATAATTGTTAAATTCATACTTTCGCGGAAAATGCTGTGTTTTTATGAGCATTAAAAATTAAACGAAGCAAAATAACTTAGACCTCGGTCCCTCGGAGCATTCAGCTGATAAAACTGGTTTGTTGTGGTTTTTGGGGTGCCCTGGCGGGTAGGGCGGGGATAGCGGTTCACCAGAGCAGCGATTCACCATTGAGCATAGTATTCTGTACGGTGGTTATTCTTGCGAGATGCAATATTATTGCTGTTAAAATTGCTTGATAAAATTATTGCTGTTAACCCTAAAATTCTTGATGCCAGTCCTGTACCTGCCTTTAAGTTCGTACTCAAGTCTGTGGATCTCTCTTAACTCTTTACATTGCATTTAAAATGTTTTGTTCGACCAGACCTGAAGTCCCCTTGGGGTTGTCTGCTCTTGTGCCGTAATAATAATAATAATAGTAATAATACGAAATAATTCGAGGAAAACGAAGAAGACGTGATTTCTAATTATTTTAACATTCAGTTTTCCAAGGAAAAATTATACCTGGAAATCAGTACTTCTTGGGTAACGGCAGCCGTGCATTTTGCCATGTTAGAGTGGATATATTTGCCGTGGTTTTTTGGGTATGCTGACTTTTGGTCTAACTTGTGCGGAGTGCGGACGTACAGTATTTGTAAATATGTACAGTGATGACTATAGTTCGCTTAACGCAGTACAAATGAGTGCAACATTTTTGCGTGATTTCCCTGATTATTTCTCTAAATTTTCTAGCCACTGAAAAGGAGGGTACAGTGCAACAGGAGCATTTTGCTGCTTCCCGCAATGACCAGGTTATAAGTTCCGTGGATACCCGGCGACGGCTGTCGTCCGCAATCAACACACATGGCATCACTGGAATTGTGTGTCAAGACGGAACGTACAGCGGTTCGCCCACCGTACCGCCCTTCGCTTCGGTGAATCTGACTGTGCAAGAGCCAGATATTGCTGCGGACCGGAACAGCAGCTGGTACCATACATTGCAACCATCCGTTTTGGAGCGGCGTGAACAGGGATGCTCGTATGATGCCATAAAGCAGCACGCCGATGCTTGCTTTCTGTCTGACGAGAGGCGGGATAGCAGTCAGCAAGAGAAACCGCCGACGGTCCATCCTCTTATTGTAAGTTAGTCACTGTATTTACTGAGTTCTTTTATGCAGATCTTTTCAAATGGCACATTTCGTGGAAAATCAGTGTTAGCCAGGAATAAAATTGCAGAAATATTTGACAAACATCAGCAGCCCGTTTGTATCTGCGGCGTGACTATATCCGTTGATTTTGTTCAAAAAGCCTCTATATACGCGCCCTTTTCTTGCAGCCTCCCGAGCGGCTGCCATCTCGCATGCTAACTACCGAGTATCATCTGAAGCGTGCTCAGCAGCACCTTCGAGCAGCCCGAATCATCCGCGAACGCCATCGCCAAGCCATTAACCGTGTCGATCCCTTTCCACCACTGTTTAGTCAGCCGCAGACCATCATCAACGACCCCCACGCTGACGATGGAGTGGTTCGGAAGTATAAGCCATATTCTACATCTCAAGCTGCACCGCAGCTCGATCTACGCGTTCCTGTTGCACCTCCGCCGCAACTGGTTGTGCCTGCAGATACGCAGCAGCAAGTGTCTCTAGCATCGTTTTCTAAACCGCTGTGGTGTGCAATGTCGGATGCCGAAACGGCCATCTACATTCCTACCTATGAAGATATTTCACCGCCGCCATCATTGCAGGCTCTCAATCCCGAGCCAGCAGCGGGTTCAGTCGTCCTGGACGAGCTGATGACTGGTTTGCCCGATGTTAACCTAGACATTTCTGTAGACGTTTTGAACGCAGAATTGTTGTGGTTGTCAGAAGATGACTTGCAGGCGATATTTCCACAGTAGTGACGTGTCTCGGTGTGAATAGTACGTACACCTTGTCAACATCTTTTTACTTTTGTCACTCGTCCTATATTTTACATTTCTACTTGTACAAACATTTTGCCCTTATAATTGTCTGGCTTATTTACGTTGGTTGAAGTGGATTTACGTTTGACCAATGTTGTTGTTTCTCCGCTGTTGTAGTCAATGGCTAGCTGGTACTTCTTTATTGGTTTTACGTTTGGTCGATGCCTGCGCGCATCCTGAAGTCGATAGACCAGGTGGCCCACCAAAATGGCGGTCTCCGTTTCTGTTTCGCTATTCTTAAACCTCTGGGCGAACCATAAGCATTTTAGATTCGTTTTCTAAAGTGTATAGTACTGTTGCGATAAGCATTAACCTTCAACCTCTTATTTACCATCTCAAACACAATTCGCGGTACTACTTAACTGTATTTCGTTTAAATATTATGGTTTAAGTGAGACCAGTCACACACTAACTATGTAAAAAATCGCGAAAAAAAAGAGTATGAAAAAGATGGATCAATAACAAAAAAGGTTTTAAATAGATAAATTTAAAGATAAATAAATGACCAGTGCACACTGCCACGCCCGTGCAGGAATCCCGTGCCCGTGGGCAACACCCGTGCGGACCCAAAAAGGTCACCCGTGCAAGCAGCCAAAACCACTGTTTACCGACGCCGACCCTTAGTGTAAGTCGGTCATTGCGCTTACTGATCTCTGTTTCTGCAGCTTTCATCAGATGACACACTTGTAACCGTCCAAAACTACCGGGTGCCGCCAAAACGACCACCGTAAATTTTGTCAACCCAATTTTTTTGCGTTTTTCATCAGGAACAAATGGGATAAGTGTAGTTTCGCATTCGTGTCGTTTCGGACGGCTTAGAGGCCAAAACGACCGGTCGTTTTCGATGCACATAACACACACTTCGAGGGAAATCAGTGTTAGCCAGGAATAAAATGACGACACAGTAGTATCAACAGCCAGGTTCAACCTGCGGCGTGACTGCTGCGCACGCCGCAGATGTATGTGTTACTCAATTTTCTGTTGTTAGTACGTAAGATAAAAAAATTTTTTTCCCACCACTGAAAACGGATACAAGCGTGGAAGTAAACACCCATCGTGAATTCTACAATCATTGCCATGGACAACGCAGCACACTGGACACATCAATTGCAAACTTCTTGAGAAAATTAGTTTGAACTTATGAGGTGTGATATTAATGTCTAGTGAATTATAGTCGTTAGCAAAAAATAATATTGCTGAAGTCAGGACAGGCCGGTAAAGCATGATTAAGTCAGAGATGTCAACGGTTCGACCGGTTCGGTTCTGTTCCGTAAGCGGTTCGACTTGACATCGAAGTCACTTCGTTCGTTACGGTTCCAAGCACGAGTCACTTAAACCGGTTCGGTTACTGCGCCAAGTGACTTGTAACCGAACCGAACCGGTTGGAACCGAAAGTAAAAGATTGTATTTGAGCGCCGGCTATACAACTCAAAAAGGCGAAGACGTAAAGCGCGACTGCGCGCGGAGGCTGAACGTAGCGCGGACGAAGCGGTTTTTCTTATAGAAAGTACACGTACGCGTCTCCTTCAGATGAATGCGGTTTGAGACAGAATTAAGTCGTCGCACCACAACGTCATTTTATCTAGTACAAAAGAACCGAGAAGAACCGCGGTTAACCGGTTCTTCTCGGTTCGACTTAACCTCAAACCGACTCAAACGGTTCGGTTCTAAGAAAAGCCGTGGTTAACAAAGCGCGCAACCGAACCGAACCGAACCGGTTGAACCGCGGTTCCAAACCGTTCGGTTCGGTTTTTGACGTCTCTAGATTAAGGTTCGGTTTTTGTCGTCTCGTCCCTCCACTTAATTATTAAGTGGAGGGATTAACTGGAAATGTGGAAGAAATTTAGTGATTGTTGTGCTTTAAAGATATTGTAAGAATTCAGAGGAAACAGACGCAAAAGAGAAACTGAAATCTTTTCCTGCCGTTCGGTTCTGGGTAAAATCACTCCGTCACTCGCAGTTGCCATAGAGAGCATATCGAAATTCGAAACCTTCTAAATGCATTCTCTACCTTCGGAATGTTGGATGGGCGATTTTACCCAGAACAGAGCAAGAGGAAAGGATTAATTTTGTTTTGAACTGCACCTTTTGCGTCTATGCAGAGAGCCAGTGGACTAGGTGATTGACGACAGATGCTCCTCGCCTACCTTCGCGGTTAAATTTAATTCTAAAAACAAAAAAAAATCTATCCAGAGATGGAAAACGAGTTTGATAACTTATACGGGCAGTGACAGACATACCTGCATGACTGCATCCACTTTTCTGCTGGAGCAGTGACGTCATGCATTGACGGCGCGCATTCACGGCAATGCGGCATGCATTGACTCTCACAATGGGCCTGCCGCCAAAATGCGCTCAGTGACGCTCGGTGACTACTGTTTTCCGGCGTTAAATGGTCAAAAGTCAAGGAAAGTAAATAACGGTACCGTTATTTATTGTTCTTAGAAAAGTAGGAGCAGGATGACAAAGAAATTTTATGGTGCTGAGTACGTATGATTAAAAACAATTGATGAGTGAATCGGTAGAAGTGAAGTCGAAGGAGGCAGTTGTTGTGTACGAACAGGCTTCTACTTAGTACAGCCGTACAGGCGAACAGGCGTTGTGTTCTCGTACATTGAACAGGCGTCTATTTTGAACGCTTTGTTGGGAACCGGCGGAATTCAATGTACGCAAGTTTTACTGTACTTCGTATGCGTTATTAAACGCGCAAGTATGCGCGTATGCGCATGTAAGCGTTATCAAACAGTAAGTACTTAAAAGTGGTCTCTAGCAAAAGGATCTTGCCCTGGTTCTCAGATTTTTTAGGTTGAAGATTTTTTGTTTGTGCATTAGCAGACAGAAAATTAAAATCGTCACAAAATAAATTACGTCACACAAGCTGCCTGATACTATAAAACGAGAAATTTTATTTGAATACTGGCCGGATAAAAATCGCGCACATTTCTTTTGCAGTACTAAATTCGTTTTTTGTCGAGCAATATTAAACAAAAAACTGCAATATTTTGTGGTCGCGGAAGTTAGGTTTTTGTTCTATCTGTATGTTTTGAGTACTGTAATCAGTCGCTAATTTTTATCGCGCGGTGTGCGCCTGGCCTATTAGTGCAGACAAATCTGCCTATCAAAAAGGTAATAGCAGGCCAGCAGGGCAAAAGATGGATCGGTGATTGGCCGGAAAGAAGACTGATGATCATTAAGCCGATCATTAAGTACGAAACGAAAAATGGAGAAAATCGTAGCATTTATGGTTATTATTTTATTATTATTAATCTATAAAAGCGAAGGAAAAATTTTTTTAAGGCCCGACATCGCAGTATACTGATCGCAACAGCTTGGTGAAACAAAGAAAGGATGCATGGGAAGTTTAGTCGGCTGATTTGCGGACCGAAACCTGCTGGCTCCGAAACCGACATTGCGCAGGAAATGAACGTAGAAGCGGATGGCGTCAACGCTGCTGTTGAAAGCTGTGGGCAAAATATTGCCGCGCGGGAAGAAGCTCATCTCAGTCTGGAGCAGGGTATGCTGAAGTGTTGCGAAGACGGCCGCACTCAGGCTTACATCAGGAAGAAGTTTGGTCTTCCAGAATGGCGCCTGAGAATGTTGTTGCCGCAAAATGGAAAATCATTCCCTGAACGTTCCCGGAAAAAATCCCAGCAGCTGCGAACGAATGTTCTAAAACTTCATGCCGAAGGATTGAAATTGCGTGCCATTGCACAACAGGTTAATGCGAGCGTGTCGACGGTATGGAATTTAGTGAAACAAGGTGCCCCAGAATCGAATATACCAAAAAAGCGACCGTCAAGCCTATCGGACAGTGCCGAGCAGTCTGGGATGGAGTTATCTGGTGCCGAAGGAAAGCAGACAGTTAAGACAGAGAGAATGAATGAGGATAACGGCAGCATCTTTCTGTGTCGAGGATCGGTTAGCTCTGGGGCGCTGCATTTTGATGGTCCAAGCGGCATTGTTTGTTATGAGTCTGCTATCCAAGACCACAGTTATTGCGTCACAGAGAATACTCAAATATCTGCGTGTAACATCGAGACAGGATCATTTGCTGACGTTTTAAAGGACATCTTTGAAGCAGCCGGTGATCCTGAGACGGTGAAAAACAAAGCTGGTATGTGAAATCACAGCATCCTCGGATTGTGCCCATTAATTTGTAAAATGTGTGAATTCCCTGTGCGGACGACGCTTACAGTGAGCAAACGGCGTACAGTATTGTAAAATTTAACAAAAAATTATGAGTACTGTAACAGACATATTAGCTGTTATTACTGTAATTATTTATTATTAAGTTCTGAATACAAGCATTTTGAGGAATTTATCACCTACTCGTAGAGATACGGCCAGGGTCAAAAAGAGGGAGGAATTTTGAGAGGGAGGAATTTCTGCGTGGTCAAAAAGAGGGAGGAATTTTTGAAGCGAGGGAGGGAGGAAATTTGAAATGGTCAAAAAGAGGGAGGAATTTTTTCGAAGTTCAAATGAAGTACTCGGAGACCTCGAACCCGGGTCCCCGAGGTCGCCACCGAGATTTCCTTACCAAGAGGAATCGCTTGGCTCGCCCTCGTGCCTAATTCAAGACATGTTGAGGGTTCGATGAAACAGAAGCACCAGTGACCTTTAGGTCGCCACGTGACCTTTGGGTCGCCACCGATTTTCATAGTGATTCCTATACATTTTGACATGCTGAGTCGAACTGAAGTACTCGGGGACCTCGAACTGGGTCCCGAGGTCGTTATAACGACATGTACCACATATACACAGTTTCCTGTGCTGGGTCGAACTGAAGTTCTGGGGTTCTCGGACCCACGTCCCCAAGTCGCCACCACGATTTATATTTTATATGCATAGTTTGATGTGCTTTATCAAGCCACTGCTGGGGGACGTAGAAACCGGGAATATTTCTAAAAATTTTTAATTTTTTCTAAATATTTTCACTAATATTTCTTATTATATTTCTACATATTCCTAAATATATTTTTAAATATTCTAGACATTTTTCGACATATCCTTAACTATATTTCAACATATTTTTTGATAGTTATAAATATACTTCTATCTGTAATTATGTCTTAACACATTATGAATATACTTTTGATTATTTTAGAATTAAGTTTTCTGATATTTCTGTACAGATGCATATCTC